CCCCTTGCAAACCAATAGTTGGAAAATGAAGGCCCGAGACGGGGAGGGGAACCTAGTGAAAAAATGTAGCTGAAACTATTTTTCCAGAAAGAAAGGCAGGTGCAGCAACACTGAAAAGCTTTGAGGATTCACATCAGCTTTGCCAAGCTGTTTGGTCAGAAAGTAAAAAACAAAACAAAGCAAAAAAGAAAACCTTGGAGAAATTCAGAAAAAGCCAAAATGCCTCATTTTGAAGCTTTCAGCATTAAAGCATTAGAGTCTATGATTTTGTGAGGCCATTTAGTGTTTCTTTTTGTCATGTATTTAAAAAAATGAAGCTACAATGAAGGGTCTAGTTTTATCTGATTTTTTTTTTTTTTTTATTATTAGTATTATTTTTGCCTTACCAAAAAGTTTGAAGGGCATTCACATCAGCTCAGCTGAAAAGGATGAGGTTTTTGGAAGTGCAGTTCACTTCTGCCAAGCCATTTTTTCACAGTTTTTACCAATAATAGCATCTCCTGCATTATCCCAGGCTTTGTGTCTTCTCAAAAAAGGCATTCTTTGCCAGGCATCCTCTTTCTACCTTCTTTTGAAAAACATGAGCTTGGTCATATCCCCAAGAAGGAAGGAGTTCTGCTTATTCTTTGTGAATAGTACCCAGGCAGGATTCATTCCCACTATCCCCCCAGCTTCCCGGAAACTGTCTGGCTTTCCTGCATCTAGCACTGCCACTGCAGAACAAATAAAGGTTTTCAGTGGGGACTGTCCCCTTTCAGGTGTACCAGCAATCGGATGTTCATCACCATTCACGTACCACATGTTCTAGCCAAGCCCAAGCTATGTGGGGCTCCCTACCTGTTCACAAGATTAAAGTATCTGTGCAGGTAGCCGGGATCAATGGCACTTTTGCACAGCTCTAGCTGCGTCTGAGGGTAATAGTGCACATAGTTGACGCACATCTCTTCCATGATGCCAAACCCACCCTGCAAAAAGAAGAGAAACAAATTTGGGTTCCCAGTCAACCGTCAGCAGCCACCGCCTTTTCCTGCATCCCTGGGAGGATCAGCCAGGGAACTCCTCAGTGAACATCAGCCCATGGGAGCCATCTCTGTGCAACTGCCTATGAGCTGAACAGATGTGCGAGCCCCTGAACCACCTTTTGGCACGTGTGGACACGCCCGCAGGGCCCTGGATATGCAGAGTGCCGAACTGCAGGGCCCTGTCACACTGGCCTTTCACCCCTTCGACTGTGGGGTCTCTGATAATATGGAGGTTTCCTGCAATCCTGCAGCTTGGGCTCCCTAACTCGTCTCTGTGACATTCTCTTTTTTGTGCATCTGTGTAAGGAAATAGCCCAAGCTGTCACACACGCTGCTTATGTGATACCCACGTATTGTCAAGTGGCTTGTAGAACGAAGCACACACATCATGCACTTATTGCTTGAGTGGACAGATCACAAGGAGTGAGAGACCACAGCCCCTGCCCTCCCATGATGTGGTTTCGGGTACAATAACTTTCAGTATCCATGTCAGCCCTTCACCCTTGGCTGTAAATGGGCTCCACACTCAGTTTTCCAACCACTTCCTTCTGATTTGTGTGCATGTGCATCCACACACACACACACACACACACACACACACACACATACCACAGTGGCTTGGTCCCTGTCCTCTGTGTTGTACGCGCAGGATGTTATAAGCACATCCCCCTGTGTGTTGAAGCACAAAGATGCTAGATGGTTATATCTGAAAGCTTTCTATTTCTGATTAGCAGCAAGACCAGGGATGGTGCCCGGGGATACCTCTCCCATATTTGCACCCTTTAAGCACTGAAGTGATCCCAGGCACCCTGCTTCCTTCACACAACACGGGCTTCAAGGGAAATAGCACAAAGATTTGCCAAACCTCCCTTCTGCAAAGGGATTTTGTACAGTCGCTTCCCCACAAGATTCCTTTTTTGCTTCCTCCCTGCTTTCTAAGGAACTTAGGGCTAAATTTCTAAAGTGCCTGAAGATGCATGTAGGCACTGTATGGGATTTTCAAGAGTGCCTGGGTTATTGAAACTCCCATTAGGCATCTGTCTTCACCTTTAGGTGTTTTGATACTCTTGAAAACGAGGCCCTTTACCAGCACAACTTGCCTGATGCCCTCTCAGAGATCAGCCTGTTCCCTGTGTTACAGTCCTGAAGGCCCAGCATCATCTTCTTGCTATTTATTAATAGAGCCAATGAGAAAATTACAGAAAACGTTGACATTTTGGAAGGGAGCTTGTGAATTTTCTTGCAGCTTTGATTCTCCGTAACTTTAATAATCAAGTGATGCAATTAACCATGTTTCATTCTTTAAAATATAACACTGGGCCAGGCTCAGCCACTGTTTCCAATCAGCCTTAGGATGCCAAAAGTAGGACGGGATATCTGCCCAGGGTGGAGATTTGTGTGGAACAATGATTGCAAGGATGGGGATGTGGCCAAGGGAGCTGAGATGTGCTGATTTAGCAGCTCCTACCTTCTGTTAACCCTGGCACAGCTCCTATTAAGCACCCTATGCAGGGGAACATCGCTCCCTTTGCTGATATCTAGCCTTACCATGCAAAGCTGATTTGCCTAGGAAGTTGCTGGATACTAAGGAGCTGAACCCCATGAGAAAACTCTTAGGCAGACTATCTGCTCAGCTTCTTGCAGTGGAGAGGATGAAATAATGTCAGGCATTCATAGCTTTTAAGGCCAGAAATGCCAACAAGATCATCTAGTCTGAGTTCCTGCAGCGCACAGACCCTAGAATTTCATTTGCTTGTTAAGCGATGGTCCTGCCTTGAGCAGAAAGCTGGACTAGACAACCTTGTTAGGTCCTTTCCAGCCCTACTTTCTTACGATCTCCGTCATTTAGAAACTGCAGTTGCTTCTACAGACACTCACCGGAAAGACAGAAACCACCTTCTTTAACATGCGGATCTCCTAAAAGGGTAAAAAAACAATTTTAGAGTTAGAAGACACCAACACACCCACTTTCCTACACTGTCTTCTGCACTGACAGATCTGGTGGGAATAGGCTGGAATCAGTTTTTCACCCAGATGCCCAAGAACGGAGGCTGACTATTAAACACTCCCCTCCTCCCCTCATTTTATTTTAGCTAAGGCTGAGGCTGCACTCAGTGGGAAAAGGTCTGTACCTGGAAGTGAGGGCTGTAGTGATTGTCTGCGTTCACTATCTCCCGTTCACTTCCTTCCCGGGACAACACGGTCACCACCTTCCTTCCCGTCAGGTGAGTGTGAAGCTGGGAGGCGAAGATGTGGATCCCAGCAGGAGGCAGAGCCTGGAGAAACAGTCCCACGGGAAGACTCAGGCTTGCAGGTGCTGGCATAGCCAAGAGCAAATAAATCTCTGCAAGAGCTCTCACCCGCTGCCACACAGACCTCAAGTAGGGCTTTTGCTGGGAAGAGCATGGCAGGTATTTGCCGGACCAGCACCAAATCCCGCACAGTAGAGCTTGTCTTCATACTCCCTGAGCTGCTTCTGCACGCACTTTGTTTCTTTATAGTCTGCTTGTCTGACAAAGATTGACCCACCAGCACTTTCTAGTTCAGCAGAAGACAACTAGGCATGATGCTATTTATTCCCTCGCCTTTGCTAGCTACACAAACTATTGTTCCAGGGTATGCCCTCCCAAAGTATTGATTAACACTTCCTGATTAACGCTGTCTATTGATTAACACTTCTTGATGACACCGTGGAAATTTAGGAAACTCATTCAGGAGCTGTTGGGCAGAGAGCACATTCCTCCTTGCACTTTAAGCTCGTTCAAATGAGAAATCCCTGTTCAGTGATTCTCTTTTGCCTGGTTTCTGCCTGCCTGGCTGTCAGGCCTTTGACACGGGGACGCTATTACTGGGAAAGCTGCTGCTTTGCTCTCATTGCTGATGAGCTTCCTTTCCTGAATTGCACCAGCTGTTGTTGGGACACACTCCTGGCTACTTACTGGGTAGCCTATCTCATGTCTAGAAAGTGCACGGATGTTAGCACAGGCACTGATCCTCTCTTTGCATAGATCCCCTCTTGTGCTGATGTGATGGAACAACCTGGATGGGGCATTGCTTTCCCCCAGCATACTGACCACTTGGGTGCATTTATCCGTACAGTAGCCTGTCAGGAAGAACTCGGTTTCCCCAGGAGGTATAGCCATCACCGGCGTGTAGACCAAGCCAAGCTCCATAATGCCGGCATCGTAGCGTCTCAGTGTGGCTGTGTAATAAAGGCGGATCCCTGAGGAGTCGTGGTGACCTGGCAAAATAAAAGGACGTGTTTTGATGCCACACTGCAGATCACAATGGGAGCAAGCTGTTCTCAGGGAAAGATCAGCCATGAAATATTAAGCTTTGGTGTAGTGAACATTGGAAAGGCAGCTCAGTTGACTGTATATTCTCCATCTGCTATGACCTCTATGTTAAAGTCTTATTATACTCCCCTCTACCCTGGAAAATTTCACAATAGACTAGAGCTAAACACAATCCCAATCTTCTGGTCACCTCACTAATCCAGGGGGTGACAGTCAGAGCCGGACTAACCCTTCAGTGGGCCCTAGGCAAACAAACTAGTGGGCCCCTACTTAATACTGTATATTTATATTACTTTTTTCACTTGATAATTATAATATGTCAAATAAGCGCAGCTGGGGCCCTTCTTCACTTAGGTCCTAGGCATGTGCCTAGTTTACCTATGCATTAATCCTGCCCTGGTGACAGTGGCCAGCAGTAACACAAGGGCAGGAGAACAGGGAGTTGGGTGGAAATGTCTTTGGAGGTGCGTGAGACTCGAAAGCAGGTGGGGCTATAGTTGCACGACAGATTTAGAAGAGCCCCTGTACTTGTATATATTTGGTCCAGATTCAGGAGCGGGGAGAAAACAGATGCTGAATTTCTTCCCGAGAAAGAAAGCATGTTTCCCAGCCTGCTTTCTTCAGCATGGGACCACCAGTGTTTCCCTTGTTTGAAGGAAAGCTCTTTTATCAGGTCCTGCCATTACCTAGACCATGCTCTCTCTGCAGCTTGATATGGTTTCCAAAGGGCCATCAACCCATGCATTGTAGTAAGGACTTCTGCTGCATTCAGGAACAGGGAGACACTGCCTCTCAGTGACCAAAGCTAATGAACAGTCAACGTGCAAATCCTTTCTAAGGGAGAAACCGCTGTAACCCCTGTGGTTCTGTCTGCCCAAGACAGACTCTACCCAGAGACATGGGTCTCCTGTAGTTGAAACCATCCTTGGCTTCTGCTCTTTTTATTGCTCCAGTCTGGGATGTAGCACTTCTCTGACCCCATCATCTCCCTAGTCTCCTGGCTTCTTCCCCAGACAGATATGCATGCATCGTGGCACCGAATCCAACTGTACAACAGCTCAGAAAACCAAGGGCATGTTGTTCCTGGTAGGGAGCGGGTGTGAATGAGTGAGGAGCTGGGAGCACAAGAAGAGAAAGCAGAGATGTAAATGCGGTGAAATGCGTTTGCTGCGTTATGATGCAATATTTTCCACTCTCCAAACAGGGACGTGCAGACGGTGTTCACCCCGGGAGCTGCAACGAGCAGAGAATCTCCTGGAGGGAGAAGTTAAGCTGGATCACTCCCAGTCAGTATAAATAACGCACAGTCTCCCAGTCTCTGCATAATGCACCGGCAGGTTCCTGATCTGCAAACTGAGGCAGCATGCGGGGAAGGAAGGCACTCGGAGTTTGGAGGTCAGTTCTTGCATTTCAATTCTGGCCATGACAAGACCCAATAGGAAGACAATGGGGAAGCTACGGGGTTTGGGCAAAGAGTACAGCAAACCAAACTCCCTAGCAGTACCCGGGGGCAGTGCAATCCCTCCAGTGTGCTAGACTTGGCCCATGATGCCCTGAAGGCAAGGGGCAAGACTGCTGGGGAGAGAGCCCCAACCAAGCCTTGGGCTATACTTGCAAACCCTTCCATTAGGGATGGGTGGGTCTTTGCCGCCCTCCATTGCAGGCCACAGAAACAATTTAGGAACTGATTGTTGCTTGCAGGTAATGGACTTAAACCAAATCTGCCAAAGGAGCCTGGCACCTGAATACCTAAAAAGAAAACCACAGATAGTTCTAATGTGTCCCCGCTCCGTGGCTGCTTTTTCAGGAATAAGCTTTAAAGGGAAAGGTTTTGTTAGCTAAGCCATGGAGGCCTCTTACTTATTTTTAAGTATTTGTCTCTGGGTTGGATTCATCAAAAGGATAAGAATAAATGGGGAGCAGTTATTGGTTAAAATGAAAAGGCAGTTAAACAATAAAAGAAGCCATCTCCATATTTATAGACGTGTTGCTTTTCAAGTCTCCGAGTGTGATGTGATTGATCTGTAGTACATATGCTCTGGTCTTCTAAAAATACACTTGGATAGTCGTGAAGTGACTTGATTTTATGTAAATGAAAAATTTGGTAATTTAGTGGGACTTTTCTCTGTCCAATGCCTCAAATAAGAAATATAATTTGTGCATTAAAACAATCTCTTCCTGTGCCCACCAGGCTAATACCTCTGTATTGAGCTGGGCCCCTGCATTTCACTTGGCTGGGGCAGCAGGGGTGGGGAGAAAAAACTCTGTATATAGGGGAAGGGAATAGGTTTCTGCCACCACCCTGAGCCCCTCTCAGGGACTGGGTTCAGGTCCATGCTGTGTCACAGACTTCATGGTAGAGATGGTATCTTTTATTAGACCAAGAAGATTTTTGCAAAAAAATTATTTTAATTGCTTTTAAAGGAATTTAATTTAATTCCTGTAATTTAAAGCAATTAAAGGAATTTTTTTGCAATAATCTTGTGGGTCTCATAAAAGATATCATCTCTACTATGAGTCCTGATTGCCTTTTCCTCTGGACCAATATGGCTACAACTTGGATAACAGACTTCCAACGTCACTTAGCCTTTCTCTGAGCCTCAGTCCCCCACCTTTATAATGGGCATAAGAGCACTGACCCCTCTCCCAGGAGTCTGGGGAGAATCCATCTACTGAAGCGTGAAATAATCAGATACAAGGGCCAGGTAAACACTTAGGCATACGGGAACGCGCAGGTTGTCTCTGAAGATCCCTCCTCCATCTAATCATTCCTGTCTGAGTCTACCTTGTGTACTGCTGTTAGGTAACACTGGGTAAATGATTTAACCTCTCGCTGCCTCAGTTCCCCACTGTGTGAAATATGGGTAATAATAACGACCCGGGTAATAATACGGGTAATAATAACCCTGATGGCCTTGGGGGTTTGTGAGGCCAGATTACTGTACTGTCCATGCCATTTGTGTGACTACTGGTTATTCCAAGACAGGATATTTGTCATAGCAAGAACAGTCAAACAGGGTTATTTTACTTAGGACAGTCCAAAACGGCTTCTAACACTTAACGGTCTTGTTCCAGTCCAGATATATCTAATATATGCATTGCATTTTTCTCAATTGTATTGTATTTGCTTAAAAAGTAGCTGTCTTAGAGCTATTCTCTTGTTGGCTCCGTGTTCAGCTTAGGGAAGACTGTGAAGAAAGGTGTGGATACACTGGATAGAGACATTTCAGTGGGATTAAAAAAAGAGTGTGAGTACAGAGCAGAGCAGAGTGAGAAGCAAAGAGAGAGAGATGATGGATATAAAGCACGGAGGGTGTGATGCGGAGAGATGCTAATGGTAAAATAAAGGGCAGGGCTTTCCAGGAACTGCACACGGGTTTTAACACCCCCCGACAAGTTTGTGCTTGGGACGAAGGGATCTGTTTGAGGGAGCAGATACCTTTGCCTTGAGCCAGATGCAGTGAAAGCAGAAGCTCTCCTAAGGGTTTCCAGATCCGAAAGACACCCTTGAACCTCCCCCTGCCTTGACTGTCAGCTGCCAGGTGCAGTCCAGGACTGCTCAGCCTGCATCAAGTTTGCAGCGTGCAAGGGCTTGCATCAGGCAGAGCAAAGTGTAAACCGGAGGCTGGGATTGAGAGCAGGTCCAAACCAAACTTCTCCAGCCTGCAGATAATGCTGGAAATCTCACCAGCATGACCATTTCCATGAGATTTCTAGTGATCTTCTGGACTTCAGTCATGACACAGGGTCTGAAGCTGATCGCATTCAAACTGGACAGAATTTGCCTGGAAGGTCTCATCAGTGAAGGGTGCTATTTTTGCTATGCTGTCTGCTTTCTTCTTTCCCCGCTGGCAGCCTTGCCTCGCCTCGCCTTGCCTCTCTAAAACAGTAAAGAACCCAACAGACACCTCACCTGCTTCCCCGAGGCAAAGGTAGGGTGGTTCGAAGCCTGGACCTCAACCTGAAGTAGGAGCAAGCGTGCAGATACAACTATGGAATCAGGACTCGTGGTAGGGGTGATCTCTTTTCTAAGATCAACTAGATTTTTGCCACAAAAAAAAAAAAATTCTTTAATTGCAAGCTTTTGGGCACAAACACCCTTCCTCAGGCGTGTTCGTGCCCAAAACCCTGCAATTAAAGATTTTTTTTTGCAAAAATCTAGTTGGTCTAATAAAAGATATCGCCCCTACCACGAGTCCTGATTCCTTTAGCCTCTAGGCCAATATGGCTACAACCTCAATACCTGACAGATACAACTATCTTACCCTCTGCAGCAATGGGATCTCTGCCCTCTGGTTCAGATGCCAAGCCTCGCTCTGCTGCTGGTGGGAAATAGTTCACCTGGTGGCACTTCCCAGGCCTATCCTAAGCCTCTTTCATGGGAATATGTGCCAGAGGGCACAATCTGGCTCAGGCGAGGAGGTTTTTGTCATTCCCTTTGCTGTTACCTGCCGCGGCTGACACCAGAAACGCAAAAGGTGGCAATGCTGGTGGTGGCTGCCAGGGGCACTAGACATTGTCCTTCCATTAAAGCCCATCACATTTGTCAGAGCTCCAGGCTCTGTGTGTTAAGCTGTGCTCCAAGCCAGATTTTCTTTCATTCACTTGGCTTCCCGCAATTAGGTGGCAGTTCTGGTATTTACCCTCCTTCCCTGTTCACCACCTCCAAGAGGCAGGGATTATTTTGGCTCTGTTGCCTCAGCCTATTGGTGCCTGGGAAGCATTGGGCGGAAGAGTTTTTATGGACTTTTTTTATTGCTTTGGTCAGAAATTTCCGCAGATCGTGCTGACGAGACCACACAAGCACAGGTGGCTTCTGCCTGAAAGGCATGCATTGCTGCAGGCTCGCTTACCTTGGAAGACCAGGGGGTTGTGGTAGTGGATCTCAAGGCGTAAATACTTGGAGGATCCCGGCCCCCCGAAGGCGAGACCTGCCTCTTCAGGGTAGTAGAAGGCCTGTAAGCAGGAGGAAGAGGCGTGAGGTCTGCGTGCTGTGAATTCATGGAAGATGTCAAGGAGGGAACGATCCCAGGGGCGAGTAATTCTCTGCATCACAAGTGCATGTTGTGGGATAGAGGAGGTCACCCTAAATTGCCTGCTCAATAGCCAGCAGTCTCTGGCACCCTTGAAAGCAGTCTTCTCCATTGGAAGGAGAAGTTTGTGGGGATCGGCATAGCTCTGCTGACTTTGGGGGAACAATACTGGTCTGCACCGGATGGGGATTTGGCCCAGGCATGAGGCATCTAGGTGTAGCAGGGATCAGATATTCAGCCAGGAAGAGCCAAACCACAACAGCATGGAAGAGACTCCAGGGACCCCAACCAGCCAGGCACGTTTGGATCCCAAAATCTCATCCGTGGACTGGGTGACCGTGACCCTGTGATTTTAAGTAGAGTGGCAGTGGGCCAAAGAGAAACAGCGGAAGGGAATATGAGCATACGTGCACCGGCCATGAGTCGCATCTGCACACCTGAGCTCCCATGGCCCACGCTGCCAGCACGTGTCGGCAGTAGTTCAGTCGCTCCGGCTTCATCTTGGAGTCACAGGGTCCGTTGTAATGTGGGAAGCTGTCAAACTCAGCCGCACACTGGAAGACTTCCATGTGATGGACCAGCGCTTCGTTGCCTGCTGTGATCACTGGCTCGTACTGCAAAGATGAGTCCAAGGAGAAGACAAAAACTATTAGGTAATACTGGAGGGTAGTGAACGTGGCTGGTTCTGGAGCATCTCTAGGCTCCGCGAAGAAGATCCCCCAAATGTATTGCCAACTCTTTGCTGGTGGATTGCTACAGATATGGGAGTGGCTTGGACACTTATGAACATGTTTAAGAACTCCAGCTTTGGGTTTGATCCCGAACCTGCTGAAGTCTACAGAAGGATTTCCACTGACTTCATTGTAAAGCAGCAGACAAAAGCAACATACCGCTAAGTTAGGAGCCACGGGTCCATTACACGACGACTAGGGAATTTGCCAGTTTTGCTGCTCGGAGGTCTTTGGCGGAGCAATTGACTTTTCATAAAATGGTATCGAACACCTTGTGATAGCCTCTCCCTGAAGCTATTGAGTGCCATTTCTAACCAATCGCTGCTCGACGTACAAGGTGCGGTGGTGGGGGCAAGGAATTCAATGTAAAGAGAATGATTTAAAACAGGCTTGGAAAAATTGGCATATCGACAAGTGCCAGCTGTAGGAGTGATCTGCTCCAGTGCCAGGGGACCAGAGTTAATGCACTTTTTACGTACGCAGGCATGATTCATGTCACGCCATCTGGTCGAGAGAAATCCCTGCTCTGAGTTTCCCTTTGCCCTGTCGTCTCTTCCTAACCTGATGAGCCCTGCTGCAGGTCCCGCTGCTTCTCCTCCCTCCCCGCCACACTTTGTGCTTCTAACTTTACTAGGTAATCTGCTGAGTTGTTACTTTACTCCCCTCCTGCGCTAAAATCTCTCGGCAACTGATGACTAGGCAGTTATGCTGGAATTACCCTCCTGTTCAATTGACTGTCCCAGGCATTAGCTTGTTCTCATGTTTCTCTCTTGTACTTTGGAAGTCGATGTGACTCAAGCAGTATTGAGCTAGGATATGGGAGGAAAGCCCCAAGAGCCACAGCATGCAAGGAAACAGATACAGCCTCATTTGTAGCATATTTGTGTGATTCACCAAAGTTTGCTTCTCAGCTTGTGTCTATGGTTAGAAGCCAGCTCATAAAAGCTTTTTTTTTTTTTTTAATATTTTCCATCTGGCCACAACTTTTCAGGTCTGTTCCTTTCTTCCCTCCATCTCCTATTTACCCTTTTTGTGTCCCTTCATGCGTCATCATTTCCTGGAAGTTTCCTTTCTTACCGGTATTGCACGATGTTGCGTTCGAGCTAATTGTCACCCTCCGTCTCAAAGGAAGGATGTGTTTCTATGCACGGGGCATAGCACTGGCTGCATCCTCCATCCTCCCTACTTCCAGGAGCACGGAGGACACAATTTGTATAGGATACTGGGTGGTGAATGAAGGAACAGAAGGACAGCTCTGCCAGAGGTCAAGGGGATGGAGAGCTTTAATTGGCCATAAAGGGAAGTCTCCTTGATCTCTGTTGGGAAAAGCTCTCTTCCTTCTTACCATGACAATGTGATGTCTTGGGAAGTCGTCTGTAAGCTCCACCATATAGCACCAGTATGTCGTCTCCTGGCTGGGAATGACTACATCAGGGGCTCTTATTTCCATGGTCTTCATGTCTCTGGGCAGTTCAGGGGTAGTGATGTTAGGCTTCAACAGCTGTACCCTCTGCAGCCCCTTGTAGATGGCAGAGATGTTGATTGCTTGGAGAGAAGGGACCGGTTTCTCAAGGATCCCATAGATAAGGTGCACGGTGCCATCCTGGAAATGAGAAACAAAGGGCAGCAGGGAGCTTCATGCCCGTTCATGCCTCCCATCGGGGAGCTTCATGGCAAATGTTACTGAGCTTAGAGTCACCCACTGAACTTTTTATTGCCATTAGAAATGGGAGGAAGCCAATAGGGAGATGCTACCTCTCCAAGCATGGCAAATTTGGGGGCTCACCATAAGCTTGCTCTAACGTGTGCCATGGCCATGTTGTCGGAGTGAGAGGGGAGTTTCCACCAAAAATGACATTACAGACCGAGGGGGAATCCATTCGTCTGATCTCATGATCAACATCAATCAACGAGCAGAGATGGTTTCCTAAGTCGAGGGCATTCACACCATTTCCTTCAGATTGCATGATCTCCTTTTTTACGTGCACTACACTAATCAGTACGTGTAAAGCCTGAAATACACTTTTCTCTTTCATAAATAAGGGGTTGTATGTCTCCCCCCACCCATGCCTTCTCTCTCTCCCTTATTTTGGCAGGGTAAAATAGCCCAGTCTGAACTGCATGTTTCTGTAGCTGGACTGCATTCGGGACCTGAGCTTGCTCATTTAAAGCTAACTCTGAGGCATGCTTGCACTATACCCAGCAGTCTGTTGGATAGATGTGCACATGCAGAAGGGCTGATAGGAAGCACACCAAAGTCTTTGGAAATAATTTAATGGGCTTTGGGTCAAGCTAGTCATTAGGAGGGGGAAAAAAAATCAAGTGAGCCCTTTTCAAAGGTGCACAATAAAATGTGCACAAAATGATTCATCAGTTTGTTTCCTGTGATTACGTGCATACCCATTTCCTTTCTAAAAAAGTTGGGAGTATTCTGGAGCCTGGAAATGTCTCAGCATACAAAAGATGAAACCCCTGGTTGGCTCAAAAAGTTCTTAGTTACCAAAACCTTTCAGCTGTAACAAAATCACAGTCCATCCCTGTGTCCTAGACCCATGCACAAAACCCTGTCTCTTGAGACCTGTCCTGTGTAGACAACCAGACTGGGAGAGATTGTCCCCAAATTTTGCAGAAGTTTAGTGAACCTAAAAGGAGAGAGATTTCATTGAAGAAGAATTGTGCGACAAACACCTCACCCAGTTCAAGTTACTGTATCTTGGCTCATCACCTCCTGCTAAAATCCTCCTCCTTGTCACCTTTTTAACAACACCTCTGTGTAACACTCACAATACTTGGCTTCAGGTTGTGAAGCGGAGTGATGCAGAAGGTGTATTTATATCAATCTAACACATACATAACAGAAGCGTTTGGTGGGAGCCGGATAAAATCTACATATCCTAAAGATGTATAAGAGGTTGTAAATAGATGATGTAAAGTGTTATTCCTATCTCAGGCATGTTATCTATAGAGCTCTTCCCTTGTTCCTTAAAAAGAATGAATGATGCTGCTCTCGCATTAAATTTAACGCATAAGCAAGGCATAATGAATGGCACACACAAAAAGCTGGGCATCAGCCCACTAAACCACCAGCCTTCAGTTACTTAATGGATGAGATCTGTCTGTCTTGCCCTGTCTTGGCCACTCTGGGGTTTTGTACTTTTGTTCATCATCATCTGAAAACTTTCTAGCTAAAGCAAGAACAATAATGAAGTCCTTACTGGATGTCATTGGGTCTTTGGTACTTCTTCCCTTTTTGGGGAAAGGTTGTTTTGTTAGTTTGGGCTTTTTCCAAAGAATATTGTATTGATTTCCTCCATTGCCAGAAGCCGTAGTGGGTAAAGGGGCTGAAAGGCATGTTGGCTTTTTGAATGCCATCCTTAAGGTAGAATGCCATCCTTATGGTAGGCTTTTTGAATGCCATCCTTATGGTAGAAAGGCTATTGAGAAGGGGGAGGTTTTGTGGTGGCTGGACTCTAGATTTGAAATCCATCCCTTCATGCCATTGATACCTTCTATGAAAGTTTAGGCCGGTGATACAAGAACAGCAATGGACTATGACTCCCCAGCCAACTAAGACGTACATGAGGTGTCCCACAGTACAACTTGGCACATCCCTAGCCCCCTCCATCCAAGGATCTCTTCAATGACCAAATAAATCTCATGATGTTGTATTATGTAAATCATCACTCCAGTTTACAAATGGCTCACAAAGGTGTTAGGGCAGTTTGCCTCCAATCACAAAGCACATCCAGGCCAGAAACAGGGGCCTGAATTGGATCACACCCCTATTTGCACCAGTGTAACTCTGCTGTCAATGGAATTATTCCTGATTTCCACTAGTTGCAAGCATGACCGAAGCTTGGCAGCACTTGCTTTGGATCCAGAGCCCGAGGGGTTCTGCATTTCGAATCAGAGCTTTCACCACTGGACCACAGATATTTAAATATTATCACACATGGGTGGGAACCCCAGCCCCATTGAAGTCAATGGGATTTCTGCCCTTCATCTTGACAGAGCCAGGACTTCATTATTCAATCAGCCTGCAATTTCAATGCTGGGTGACCCCGATCTAACTGGACACCTCTAGAGCACAGTGCCCAGAAAGTAGACCATCCAAATGACAAGGAGACATTACACTTGGCCTCTGCCAATAGCTAGGTGATGTGATACCTCTATAAGGTAGTCCTTTGGATCACAGGTGCTGAAGGCTCTTTTGAAGACCAGGTAGAGGCCCTCTGGGGTTCGGCGCACGCTGAGGAGCTGGTAGTCCTGTTGGGAGTCCATATGTAAGTGCCCTTTCTGATCACTCCACGCATCCTGCAGAAGAAGAAACCCTTGTAACCAGCTAGGACATGATCATTTGCCATCTTTTATTATAAAGTCACAGCAGGAAAAAAAAGGGGTGACTGTACCCGAATGCCTGTGCTAACTGGCATGATTAACAACAGCCGCAAAGACATAGTTGCCAGGGGTCCTAGCATAGGCTACTGAATCCCTAGAGAGTTTGTATTCTGGTTGCCAGCATGAGCTAATGCCTATGCTGCTGAGTCTCCACTGATATTGTAACCCAAACTAGCGAGACTGAGCCAGCACAGGTTTGCCCAACTGTTTTATGGTCATCCTACCTTTTCCCCCCTAGTAAAACCACCTTTTCATTCTTCACGTTCTGATGTTAGCACAATAGGATTCTGTTCCACAACTGGGTTCCTAGGCACTCAGACGATGAAACAGTGCATTAAAATCAAGATATGGACTGGGGGAGACAGCAGCGAAGTGACTGGCAGAGTCCATTCGGCCCAGCCTTTATTTGCACGGAGATTTCTCTATGGATCAGGACAGTACCGTGTTTTCAAAACTGTAGGGAAGTTTATGGACGTGCCCAACTTTTCACAATGACAAAGTCTCTTTAAACCATTGCCTGGCTTACTAAAAGGAAGCCCAGGAAACCCTCGCTGGCTGTAGGAAAAGGTTGCATGCATCTTTGCTAATTCTTCTGTGGGGTTTTCACTCAAGACTTTGACCGGCTGATTTTGGTTGAAGATCAGACAACGCTGTTCCTATGGGGAGAAATGTGCATGCCGTAATCCTATATGGCCAGCTTCTACTACTTGTGCTTTGACTGGGTAGTACCCTTATCCACCAAGGGGCCCGCTGAACTCAGTAGTAACACAGGAAGAGCATGGTAGTGCTAAGCATTAAATAGGGGTGACAGAATAGGGCACACGGTGAAGCTTGGGTGCAAAGGTTTGGAGCAGGAACTGGGTCGCTGAATAAGTCTCTTCTGTTATCTGGTGGTGTCTTTTGCCTACTGGGTGGCAAAGGCAGAGACTAGGAAATCTCCCTGTACACGCTTCACAGAAGCAGGCACTGGGTTGTTTTTTTTTGAGAAATAAAAAGAATGAACCATCCTGGCACTATTTCAGTTCAAAGCACAGAATTATATTCCTTGAACATATTGTCCTTTGAAAGGAAAAATAAAATCAAGCATGACATTTGTTTTCATAGGAATATGTTGTGCAAATTAATCTTGCAGTATAGGCAAAGGTTAAGCAAATTTGGATCTTTTAGCAGCTGACAAACACAGCCAGAAGAAAGGCTGCGGGTGGGGAGAGAAACAATACTGCACAGATTTATATAACTCTCCAGGCAGTATTTAAAGAATGTGTAAAGCACCAAAATGGAATGAAACGCCAGGATGCCGACTGCTTTTTATTAATTCAGCACTGAACATCTTGCAAAGCCCTACTAGAAATGTACCTTTATGGGGTTTTCCTTTTTTTTTTTCCTATGTATTTTTTTGTGCAACCCAGTGCTTTGAAATAATGTAACATTTGGGTCATGACACATCATGATTAGCTGGTATTTAGCAAGAAAACCAGCACAGACCATAATGTTCCACGTTCTCTTTTCCATCCTTTCATTACACGGCAGATCACATGGCTGACCCTTGCGAAGGAGTATTTTTATTGTTAATTTTAAGCAAGCGGCAAGGTGCAAATCAAAGTCACTTGAGAGCATTGTAGAGGAAAAAGAATCAGAGTTGCTTTCCGCGGTGAAAATAAAATTAAAATGAGTCTGACCCAATGATTTGGGAATAGTGCATTGTGAGTGTTTGTAGCGTTAATGCCAAAACGAACCTATTGCACAGAAAAATGAAAAAGCATGGATTATGTCGCAAAAGAGTTCCAATACCAAAGTCAAACAGAATCGGAAATGAGTTACCCTACCATCGGTCTAATATAAAGCTCTTTTAACCATCCAGGCTTCGTGAACATGTTTAATTTCTTCTAATCCCAGGCTGCTGGCAATTGTCAGCCAGCGGGTACTTTCCAGTGTCCTGTTGATCTTTGCTATAGTTTTAAATCTGATTTGCATCTGGCTTATTGGTGCTGGCAGGATCAGACCTTGTGGATGATAACCTTTGCACTTTCTCAAAGTCGTGAGTGGGCGTTGTGGTTAATTTTTAATGTGACTCACAGAAGTACATGAGTGAACGAAGTTGCTGATGGGGCGTGCGTGTGTTGCAGACTATGCCACCCGCTAGAACGCTTGGCAAATATAAATAGTAAATCAACACGGGGGTCAAACTCAGCAACTGATCTTTTCTATTCTCCTCTGTCTGTTGAGGATCCTGCCCATCACTCTGGTACCTGAATCACTGTGGTATCTAGATCCCTTTGGAATAAACTTCCTGGCATCTGTTAACTACCCCCAGCTAATCAAAGGGAAGACAGCATTCAACCTAATCCCCCTCAGAGTCCAGTGGGATGTATGGCAAGGTCCAGTTCAGTCCTGACAAACTGGGGAGCAAATGTTAGCATAGGATGGAGCCCCTTGGCTAAGTGGCCAGCCTCCGCAGCTCAAGTGCATCGCAGGCAGCTTACCCCAAAGTAGGAGCTGTGCCCGTCGCTCCAGAGCGCGGCCAGGTCTGCGTTTTCGAAGTCGCCCCGGTCTGACATCCCGAAGAGCAGCCCGAACTTCAGCTCCTTGATGAAGACCTGGAAATGCACCACCTGCTCCGGGTAGCTGACGTTCCATGCCAGCTCCACGAGCCCCCGGGGGTCGAGGGGCACCTTGTAAGGGAAGTAGTTCTCCTGGGGAGCTGTGCCTTGAAGAGCTGCCACCAGGATGACTAGGAACAGCGCGAGCATGGTGAAGTACATGGACGCCACTTCCCGGAGCCTGAAACGAGGGCAGGAGGAGCGCTTGCTCCCAGTGGTCTGCATGCTGGGGAGAAAGATGCTCCTGCTCCCGGCTTGTGCCATTTATGCGCTGGCCCTCCTGGGCCAGCCGGGTAAGTAATACTCCTTAATTGCATTTGGTTGTTGGGAAATTGGATTGTGGTGTTGACCTCCTCCCTTCCCACCTCCCCCACCTCCTGGCCAAACACTTGTCATTCTCTGCCTGCCCCTAATTGGCTCTAATTGCATATGGACATTATCAATGGGAATTGAACTCGACTGGGCTGATTTTATTCTCTCTTCAATCTTCCTGAGTGGCTGAGGAGGGCGGTTGACCTGTCAGCCGCTCTCGCAGAGCCCTGCATGGACACGCTGTCCCCTGCCTGCCTTTGCTTTCGGCCAGAGCCGCAGCTTCTTCCCGTGCAATGGCCTTTTTGGTAACCCCCGCCAGCACCTTGGTGCCCAGGTTTCCAAGCCGCTGCACCAGAGCATCATGCTTCTGCCACCACTGGATGCTAATAGGACACTCAGCTCTGATACATGCCATATGTCCCAAACATAGATCCGGGGAGCAGTTCCTTTCCACCTCCTTTCCGCAGTGCGGCCTCCATATCTCTAGCAGATCTCCAAAAGCATCCCCAGATCCCGCTGTCATCTGCTTCCCCTGTGTCATCATCCCAAATCTGGGTGCTACCATTTGTAGAAAGGGATAAAAAGTGATGGTAGCACTGATCACTGCCTCTGCCCTGCCAGTTGGGATAGACAGAATTAAGTACCTTTCTAGGTCCAGCATCAGCGGTTGTAACCTGACTGGATAATGCCCCTCATCCCCCCTGCCATGACCCACTGCTGGCTGCTGCTTATCCTGCTCCGTTCCAGATGAGGTATGTGTGTACGTGCACAGGTGTGCACACAGAAAGGTGTGTTTCAATGTCTGTGCCATATATAAAGCTGTTTTTCAGGCTTACAAGTGGGGCCGCTCGAAACATTCTGCCATTATCTATCATTTTGATAATGCGTGTGATATCACAAGGTACAAGCTGCCCCTTCGTCTCACTGCTCTTGCCGGCATTTCCCTCGATGAATCTCCCAGTTTCCTAGGATATGGATCATAATCTCCAAGGGGTTAAATCAAACATATTTTTTACAGTTGCGTGGAAAGATGAGCAGGACCGGGAGCTGTTAATCTCCCCGAGACATGTGCAGTCATGGCCTCACTCCATGCACGTGTTCTGCTGGAGTGGATTGACTTGGAAATGTTGCCCAGTGAATTTTCTTTTTCACTCTTCTCCACTTAACGGCATCATTTCCCACAATCCAAGAAAGTTTTGAGGGATCTGGCAGAGTGCGAAGGGGCTGGGTCACCCGTGACTGGGGACAACTCCTCAGCCATGGCAAAACATGAGGTCTGCACTCCACTGGCACTTCAGGATGGACCACATAGTGCCAAATTTCTCCAGCTCATTCCCAATCTTCTTCTCTTGATCATTGTCTTGCTGGAATTTTGCAAAGGTCAAGGTCTTCGTATAAAAAAACAGATGATGCTGATTTGGGGGATGTACACGTACGTGCTCTGTTTTCATGTGCCTTGATGTATGAGATGCATGTATTCACACGTGCTTGAATGCATAGACTCCTGTGCGCATTTGTGCACATGACTATATGGATGTGAACATGTATGTGTTATATGGACACGTGTGGGCTCACATGTGAACATAAAGAGCACACACCAACTGCTGAAGCTTCCTTAGCCTGACAAAGGGTTTTTGAACCCGAAAGCTTGCTTAATAACTATTCTCCAACTATTTGGGTTGGTCTAATAAAAGGTATCAAATTCACCCAAGGAACCTTGTCTGCCTATGTCCTTAGACCAACATGGCTACAACCTAAACCCCTGCTTATATATATGGGGCACTTATGTATATGAGCATGCATCTAAGACATCTGTGAGCATGTGTGTGCATGTGCATGCTTTCTTGCTTCCATATCCAACTGTTTGTAACACTACACAACTTCCCTCTTGGGGGCCTGACCTGCACTTTGAATATGCTGCCCATGTGTGGAACAAGCCCTTATGATATCCCAGATCTACCCCAGCAACCCCAGCTCTCACCTGGATCCAGGCCCCCAGCGCAGTCTGTACCATGTTGCCTTTCTGCAGCCTTCAGCCAATTGGGACTAAATGCTGAAGCAGCAAAAGCAAGCCGTTGGCTCAGCTGCAGGCACTTTTCAGGATCCTGATCCACCAAACCTATATCAGTGCATGAAGCCAGAGGAGCTGTGATGTGAGACCGTGTCTGTCTGCTTGCTTCAACTGGGAACCCCAGGCTGCATCATGTTCCAAGTGGCACTGTCTGGGGCTATCTGACTGTGATCATAGAAAAGTAAATCCTGTCTCAGTAGCACAGCAAATGGCTTGAGGCCAATGAGATTTCTTTTTCCAGCTGACCTCATTTGGGACCCCCTTTCTCTGGGGCAGCTCAGTTTCTGGGAGTCACAATGCCATGCAGGTATCTATCTAGCATAGCCACTGAGATGCTGGCATCTTAGGAGAGAAGAGATGGAGCGGCATGGTGGCCAGAGCACTGGAGGAGGACTTAGGAGAGCTAGGTGATCCAAGGCAAGTCACTTCCCTCCCTGTGCCTCAGTTTCCCTGCCTATAAAATGGGATGCTGCTATTGACTGCTTCGCTCAGAGGGGCTCTTCCAAACAGGAAGCTAGCGACTGCACAGTTATTGCTAAGGGTCTGCCCCCACGAGGCACTACAGCTCTGTGCACGCTGGCCTAGCTCATATCATCACCCATGCTCTGAATGGCAGAACAGCCTGTCTTGGATCTGCGTTCCTGCTTTCCACCCCAACAGGCTCACCCAATAGCTCGGTCTGCAACAGGTCCATTCTCCTTCATTCTCTGTTTCAGTCGTGTTTTGTTAACCTGGTAGCGATTGCATCCGCAAGGCAGCTTGAGGCAGCGCCCCAGATAAAGAAAGCGCCACAATGGTGTAGTATAATGTGGATCTGGGAGATGAGCGCACCACATATTTCCAGTTATGAGTCCACACTTTATATCAGTGCACCTCGCATTTTCAGGTCCAGTCTTAGTAAAACCAGCTGGTTCCCCTGAATATAAATTAATAATGACCGAGAACAATCTAGAGCTGTTCTTTCCCTTAAAACCTTGCAAGAGAATCAAATAAGCCATGAAAGGACCCAAAGGGTTAAATGCATTGGAAATACTGAAGAGCTACTCCGGAAAAAGAAATCTGACTTGGTATTTTTATTCCCTGCCCAAAAATACTGCAGCTACAAAAGTCAAGACTGTGGGGGGCCGATTATAGGTTGACTCGACATATAAGTCAAGTATAATTTTTATGGCTCTTTTGGAGGGGAAAAAGAAGGTAGCCGTATCATTGGAGCAATACAGTAATCCATCTTATGTCATTGCAGAGCATTGTACTCTAGCAGAATGATGGACCCATTATTATTAAGATTATGATTATTATTATGATTACACCTAAGAGTCCCACAGGACCCTGCTGTGCTGGGTGCTGTACAGACTGAGAACAAAAAGCCTGTCCCTTTTCTACAGAGCTTGCAATCTAATTAAGGCCTTTTTTCATAAGTCTCTTTTTTCCCCTCCCCATCTCTAGCTAATGTGATCTTAGGAACCTCTTCCACCCTTCTGCAAGCAATCTGCACATAGCAGTAGGTGTAACCTGCTCTCTCTTTGGATTTGTGCTAATATATCCTCCCGCCTGGAGGTTTTTATGTCTGGAAGAGTTGTCTCTGTTCGACCATAGACGGCCTGGAGAAAGTTTTGAATGAGCAGCTCTGGGGAGGTGCAGCATGGCATGATGCTCGCAGAGGTCTAAGAGGAGCTGCCCCAGAGCCTCAGCCATGGCAATGCAGCAGAAACCTCTGCTGGCTTATGTATTTACCCAGCTCCTTGGGATGGGCTAGCTGCCTACTCTGAGCTTAGGGTGGTTGCAGCCACTTTGCTACCATTATCCGAGCTAGGTAGTATCAACCTAACTCAGGGATGTTGCAGTCAGAGCAGGGACTGTGGTGTAGACAGACCCTAGGGCAGTCTGCATTAGCTGAGCCTCCTGCCTTCATATACAAGCCTGTTAGAAATGGCATGGGTCTTTGCTCCAGCAAGGGAGCTGCCAGAGCTGGGAAGCACATGGAAGTGCTTGTGGATGCTCAGGGGACAGCTGGGAAAGTGGCTTCCACGTGGGGCCCGTCCATAGTTCCCTTCCCCGTTCCCTCCCACCGGGCGGCCCCATCCTCTGCCAGCTGGGATGAATGATGCTCCTCGCATAGGGGACTTGAATATGGTCCGAGTCCTCAGCATCAAAAGGAAGAGCATCCCTGTACCCCTCTCCCCACCCCAGGTAATGGAGAGCGGTGGTCGGGGAAGACAAATGAGCAACGAAGAAGCAACGGCAGGGGGGAAGGAACTGCCTGCTACTGAAGAAAACCCTGTTGGGTCTAGTAAACTGCACAAATAGCTCAATAATGCTTCCGCTGTGAGAAATAGGACCCCTGCAGTCCTGCCAAGGTCACGAACGTGCTGAGTAGTAACCGCTGCTCCTGCAGGGGCACACCGGCTTCAAGGAGCTCTGGATTTATGTGCCTGGATTATCCCCCCAGGAGCGTTTAAAAGAGTACATGTGCATCCCTGTCTCTGGGACCAGGACCCTGTGTCCTCCTGGACTGCATTCATCCTTAGCTAGCTCCCTGCCTGGAGAAGGGGCTGCAGCATGGACGTGGGGGGCAAGGGCTCAGGCCCAGGCGATGGGGGTCCATTTCTAGCTCTGACGCTGGCTCCCTGCATGGCTCCAGATAAATCTCCCAAGGACTCAGTTCTCTGCTTGTGCTCCCTTGAGAAAATGCCTGCTTATGTGGGCACTGAGCCCTTCCAAAAGTGCCAGTCATTGTGTGTGTTGGTGTGGGGGGAGCACCTGCAGCCCAAATGGGCATAGCCCATCTAGCATTAATTTAGCAGGCATGGGGAAGACCCAGCCATGCAGATTTCCACACCCCGAACAAGCTCTGGATCCCGGGGGAGTT